CTGGGTGGCTCAGTCGGATGTCCAACTCTTGATTTCCGCTCAGGTCATGATCTCAGAGTCATGAGATCGAGCCTCACACTGAGCTTCATATAAAGCTTCTCACTGGTGTGGAGACTGCTTAAGATCCTCTCCCGTCCTCTCTCTACCCCCTCCCCGCAACCTCCACTCACATGTGCATGATCTTTCTCTCTCAAAAAAATAAAATTTAAAAAAAAGTGTTGGGATGCTTGGGTGGTTCAGTGATTGAGCGTCTGCCTTTGGCTCAGGGCATGATCCTAGGGTCCTGGGATCAAGTCCCACATTAGGCTCCTCACAGGGAGCCTGCTTATCCCTCTGCCTATGTCTCTGCCTCTCTCTGTGTATCTTTCATGAATAAACAAATTTTTTAAAAAGTTTTTAGTGCTGTAGAACTTCACAAATATGATGAAAATATAGAGTCCAACTCAGCCATTGTGCCAAAATATTACTATACACATATATATTATATATACTGTTATACATACTATATATTATATACTACTACATACAGCAATAAATATATACTATATATATGTTGCATACTATATACTATATATTATACTATACATAATATACATACTATATACAGTATATATTATACTTAACATAATAAGAGCAGTATGACTTCCTACTAAATGACAGTTGTTAGGCATCCATTTGAAGACATTTTGATTGCTGGTGGTATACAGATTGGAATAACAGAAATCTGAAATCTCATTTTATTGGAAGAACTACAACCGACATGAACAGCAAGCATTTGGTATGTCAGCCTAGGAAAACCATGCAGAGGCAACTAACCTCTAGAGAAAGGACATTATATTGAACTGAAACGTTTCTTTTTGTTTTTCTTCTATATGTATATATGTTTCCAAAAAAGCCAAAAGCCAAAAAGAAAAGGATTATTTATACTAGAAAAGCAGCAGATTCCTCAATGAGGACTTGGCATGTTGCCAATGGGTTACTGGCTTTAGTCATACTACCTCACACCAACCCTTAACATGTGGAATCAGGAAAAAGAACTGACAATGATTCAGACCCAAAGGCCTAATAGGCTATTAAATCTCATGAAAGAATTAGATTGCGACATAAATATGCTGAAGCAGAACTAGCTTTTGATGTAGTCTATTAGGGCTCTGTAATAAAATATTATATTGTAAAAATCTAACAATATACTGCTTTTTTCAAGTATTCACTGCCAGATAATCCAGGTATAATCTCTCTGCAAAGACATGGAGGGGAAAGCTCACAAAAAAACATTCTTCCTAAATGTTTACAGAATTCCATTCTTTACTAAAGCATTTAACAAACAAGCAAAAAACTAAAAAATACCTGGGAAAGACAAAATATCTGATACAAGAACACAAGCATATTAATCATTTGATGTTTCAGGAAAACTGAAACTCTATCAAGATAAAGAACGATAGGAATATGATTATCTCTGAAGAAGCAAATACAGGAAAATTACTTTGTAGAAAGTAAATTTTAACATAATTTATCTCTTAGTTTCAACTCCTTTAGAATAATTCTCCTAGGCAAAGACAGAAAACCTCTAAAGCCACCCAGAGGAAAAGTAATAAGAATGAACACTAAAGAACACCAGATAATAATTAAGAGAAAAGAATCATCTTAAAACTTTTGAGAGAAAAATCTAAGAAAACTAGAGGCTGACAGTTTGAGATTTGTCAGAATAGTCACTCCACCCTTTCCCCTTTATAGCCAATAACTGGAACAAACAATGATTCTAGAAGGAAGTAATTAATCCCTCAACAGTAGTTAAAAGAACACTGATCTAGATATTAAATGGCTTAGGTTTAAAATCTATCTAACCCTTATTAGTTAGGCAACCTTATGCTGTTTCCTCCTGAGTTAAATGGGAATAAGAATTCCAGTTATACACTGCAGGATTAACATGAGGATCAAATGACATTGTGTGCGTGTGTGTCTGTGTGTGTGGGGGGGGGATGTATATAACACAAAGATATGTATATCACATCTTGCAAATGTTTAATCATTATTTTGTATTTCTTTTGTGTAACTGACAACAATCTCTAAACTATGTTAACATTCTCCAGTCACTACTGGCATTTTTTCAACCAAGTTTCAAAACAAGGACTAATTTTTGCTCAATTTAAACCTACACCATGGAAACCTTGGCTACTTTATTTGGACTGAAGGACTGGCAAAATTCCACTCCAGGTGGCTAAACAATAATAAACAAGAACTTTCTGTTTCATCACATCCTCACTCATATTATGAATAAAATTTTTCTCCAAGTTTAGTGGCTATTTTTGAACTTTTTAAATACTGCTATATTTTCTCCCCCAATTACAAAACTTTAAAATACCTAAATACTAAAACAAAAAACATTTTAAAACTTAAAATTCAAGATATTTAAAGTTACATCAAAGAGAACAAAATTCAGTATTAGAGTATAGCACTTTGAGATATGAAACCATGTTTCTCTATTCACTGACCCACCCCTCACAAATTCTAGCTCTGAAAAGGCAATTTTCAGATTTCTGAAAATTTCCCAGTATGTTCTATATTTTAATAACAGACAAAATTCTGCTTATGGTCTTTAATTGGGGAGGGGGGAGGTAGGGGGCAAAAGGAGAGGAAGAGAGAGAATCCTAAGTAGGCTCCATGCCCTGTGCAGACCCCAATACAGGGCTCAGTCTCACAACCCTGAGATCATGACCTGAACCAAAATCAAGAGTTGGGACACTTAACCGACTGAGCCACTCAGACACCCCTCATTGTCTTTAATTTTTAAGATTAAACACAGTCATACAGCACATCATCAAATATTTGCAGAATTTAAGACATTTACTAGTAATACAACTACAGAGCACAAATGAGCTACCTCATCAATGAACAGAACAGCACCCAGGAAAAGCTCCGGAAAATAGTACGGCATCATATTGTGAAGCTTTGAGATCTCACAAATTAGCTTCTATATAATATGATTAAAACATTTTTTATTGAGATATAATCCACAGGCCATAAAATTTGCACTTTAAAGTATACAATTCAATAGTTTTTAAAACATTCACAAAATTTTGCAACCACAATCTAAACTATACACTAAACTATAAAAAATGTATACATAGGGGATCCCTGGGTAGCTCAGCGGTTTGGTGCCTGCCTTTGGCCCAGGGCGCAATCCTGGAGTCCTGGGATCGAGTCCCATGTCAGGCTCCTGGCATGGAGCCTGCTTCTCCCTCTGCCTGTGTCTCTGCTCTCTCTCTCTTATGTCTATCATGAATAAATAAATAAATCTTTTTTAAAAATGTATACATATACAGCAATAAAAATCCAAAGAAGCTTTAGAAAAAAATATGTAAATAGTTGTGTTTTTTTTTTTAAGTTTACTTATTTATTGGAGCATCTGGCTAGCTCAGTCAGTAGAACATGCAACTCTTAATCTCGAGGTTGTGAGCTGAAGCCCCACGTCAGGTGTAGGCAGTACTTAAAAATAAAAAAAAATTTTAAAGATTTTATTTATTCATTAGAGACACAGAGAGAGAGAGAGAGAGAGAGAGAGAGAGAGAGAGGCAGAGAGAGAAGAGAGAGAAGCAGGCTCCATGGAGGGAACCTGACGTGGGACTTGATCCTGGGTCTCCAGGATCACGCCCTGGGCTGAAGGCGATGCTAAACCGCTGAGCCACCCGGGCTGCCCAAAATAAAATCTTTATGCAAAAAAGTTTATTTATTTATTTAAGTCATTTCTACACCCAACATGTGGCTCAAACCCATGACCCCAAGATCAAGAGTCACATGCTCCTTGGACTTAGCCAGGTGCCCCAATGTATTTTATTTTTAACTTTGAAGTATTATCATTATCACTTTTTGAAAGGCATTTTTAAAATATATACAAAAATTTTATGCTTAGTGTTATAAACAGGCAAAAACATGAATTTTCTAGCCATTCATGTGAATATATGATTACTTTCACATCTAAACTAAGTGTACACAAATAACTAAATAAAGTATACACAATATGGAAAAATGATACTAACATATCATTCAGTTAAAAAAAAAAACAATTTGAAGAACTTTATGCATAGCAAGATCTTAGCCATACAGAAACAAACACTATGCATTATGTAGGAGTATATTTGCATGTAATATATTTAAAAAGATCTGCAAAGATATTCACCAAGCTGTTAACAGTGGTTACTCCTGGATGGTGAGATTAGAAAGAGTAAAGTGACATTCACTTTTTATTTCATATATTTTTGTATTAATTGCCAATTTAATAATAAGCATATGCTACCTTTTATAATTTTTAATGACCAATTTTTAAAAATTATTTGAAGGTACCATGAGTTTAGTAGTTTCTTCTAAAAAAAAAAAAAAAGAAATACATGAAATTCAATACCTTCTTGTGTCAATTTTTAATTATCCAAACTATAAGAGAAACTGAACACAGCAGCAATGCCAATAGGTTATATTTGGCTACTAAACACAAAATAGGTTTTTGCAGCATCTTTTCTCATACCCCATAGGAAGCATCTGAGTGGTACCCTGAAAAGTCTATGATGAAAACTTTGCTGTACAATAGCTATTTAGTAAAGATAACTAACATCACCTTTTACCCTAACATACTCATGCTTTAACAATCATTGCCAGTACATGTGGAACCAAAATTTTAAAAGGAAAAAAGAAAAACACTCTGAGAAGACATTACAAACTAATACAAAATACAGCTCTTAATTTCAAACAAAATGACCCAACTTATAAAATATCACACCAAGTTTTAGAAGACAGTGGAAAAGAGGAAGAAATAGGAAATGTCTGTCTCCCATTCTCTCTTTTCTTTCTGATTTATCTCCTGATGACTCATACTTGAACTCCTTAATGAACTCACCAGCAAGGGGCTCTGGGGCCCACTTGAAATGTGCAAATCAAACAACGTTGTAAGCAGGAAGACATTAGAAGCATACCTTTAAAAAAAAAAAAAAAAAGAAGAAGAAGCATACCTTTTCCAAAATGAACTTGTTTAAGTATGGCATGTAGCCCTGATTGGAGACAGGCCCCTCATCATCATCCCTGAAGTGCTCTTCAAGGGCAACAGGGTCATGTGGAACCTTCAGCACCGTACACAGATTATGGGACAGGACCTAAGGGGAAAAGAAAGTAGTTTAAAGGCATCCACTACACTAAGCAGTTTCCATATGGCAGCCTCACTGTCTGAACTTGCCGCTCCTTGCCCTAGGGAGACAAAGATAGAGAATAAGCTAACAAACATGGGGTGAGTACTACTAGGCTGCCAGCTCCCCTCGTAGTTATTACTTCATTCCCTCCCTAGTTCTGGTTCACTTCAAACAAGTCTCTTTAACATGCCTACAATGAGCCAGCTCCATGCAAGAATCTGTGACTATACACAGGAATAAAAGAGCGTCAGGAACGCAATGACACTGTCACAGCACTGTGTGGTGACAGACGGTAGCTGAGCCTCTAGTGTGCAAAGCCAAACATATAGAGAAATTGAATCACTATGTTGTATGTCTGAAACTAATGTACACTGTGTATCAACTATACTCAAAAAGAAATTTTTAGGGATCCCTGGGTGGCGCAGAGGTTTAGCGCCCGCCTTTGGCCCAGGGCGCGATCCTGGAGACCCGGGATCAAATCCCACATCGGGCTCCCGGTGCATGGAGCCTGCTTCTCCCTCTGCTTGTGTCTCTGCCTCTCTCTCTCTATCTGTGTGACTGTCATTAATAAATAAAAATTTAAAAAAAAAAATTTTTTAAATATCCATGACTATAATATTCCTTGTAGTCTTTTAGCACTTGGCCTACATTAGAAAGAAAAAAAGGGGAAGGACCAAGAGGATGTTTTCAAAATTAAACTTCTCCCCAGGGAGAGCAGCATCAGTTGGTGAGAGCTGTAGGAAAAAGAGCACGGACCTGGGCAGCTGCAGCCAGGCTTCTGGACCAAGTGACTGAGCGGGGCCAATGACACCTCTCTAGGCTCCAATGTTCTTACTTGTTCAACACGAAGGGCCAAGTTAATATATAAATGTTACCAAATATTAAGTAGCAATCTCTAAGTGTCCCAATATCTCTAAAATTCTGTGATACTAGGCTACACTTACAGCATGAGTCTAAAAGAGCATAACTATAAAAAGAAAAGAAATCAAGGGCCTAGTTTACAAATAGGAGAAAAATTAATTGCAAAAATATCTCAGAAGTCACCAAAATGGTTGAAAATCTTTTGTAGAAAACTCGCACTCTGTATATAAAGCATTACTGGTATTGGCATAATGTGAGTGCATACTTTAACACTCAGGAAGTTCAATTAGCAGTTTGGGCTATCTGAGTACTAATCTCATTTTGCATTACATGAAAATTTTACAGTGAAACTTAAATCCCTCCCATTTCATTTTGGTATTCTAAACAGGACAATTACATAGTTAACACTGTACTTACTTCAACAAAGAATCTTATCAGATGTTAAATCCCAGGTTTAAATCTTCCCTTCTCTCAGCCCTACACATTTAATCACGTGAAGATCTACATTCATCTCAATGAAGACTTTCAATGCCATCAAGCAAGTCACTTTTTTCTGCATACACATTTCAGTTAGAATTTTTTAAGGTTAAAAAAAGTAACCTATAAAAAGAATATTTGCATATCTTCTCTCTATATTTGTTTTGTTTCTCAAGGCTTCATTTATGTGGAGATCCTTTTCCACACGCTTTACTGGTTTTAAGGAAGTTAGTAAAGTAAAGGAAGTAAATTCACAAATGGTTAAATGAAGTAATGAAGACTTTTATCAGCCCCTACAAAGCAGGCTGTGTTTCTCAAGCAAAACCTCTATTTGCTAACACTAGAGCACATGAAGAGAGCACGGTAGAGCTTTTGCTGAAAAATCTTGCCCCACAGCCAGCAAAAACCTAAATCAGTATTTCCTTTCTCTATTTACCTAGTAAAACTTATGGAGTAATTATCTACTCCCAAAGAGGTTTTGTGAGGATCAACTTCAAGAACATAAAATACTTAAAACCTGCAAAGTCCTATAAAAATACGAGTTTAGAGAAATAAAGAGCCATTTTCTCCAAGAAGGCTCAAAGGTCATTCAAATTTGAAATCATTTGAGATTTAATGAAGTAAAAATTCCCAACCACTGATTAAGTTACAGTGCATTCATACAATGTTAAGAACAATAAGGAAGCTCACTGTGTGGTGATATGAAAAGATCTCCAAGATAAGTTAAATGAAAAAAGCAATATGCTTAAGATTATGTTTAGTATGCCATCTTTCATGTACAAGAAAAAGAAAGAAAAAATAAGAAACTCTAACAGAATATGTAAGAAACTAATAACAGTAGAGGAAAGACTAGCTTGGTGGTAGACCTGAGGTAGAAGACCTTTCATTGTTTAGCTCCCCTTTTTCCCAAGTTTGAAAAAAATTTTACCTATTTAACAATGTTCCAACTATTTAAGAACTTAAACATGTATTTTTAAAAAGCTGACTAGCCTAAGATCACACATCTTAGATCTATTTATTCTTGAAGTCTCTATTTTTCTTTTATATTAACCTACTAGAAATTAGGTATATAAGGCACAATCCACAGCAATGAACCATGATTAACACGAGTGAGACAGAAGGGCAATCAATGAGTTCAGAAAAGAGAATGTGTGCTAAAGTGACTTCAAAGAGGAAGTGAACGTAATGTAGGCCTTGAAATAAGGAGAGCTTTTTGGATAGGAAAGGGCAACTGGAAAGCTTTCAGATAGAGGAATAATGAGAAAAGTAGTTGATTAATGCAAACTCCTCAATCTCTCCTGTACTCCCCTTTCTCTACCTTCGGGTTTCATAGATCTTTCCAAGTCAAGTCCTGGCAGGGGCTTTGGATGCCATATTGTCATCCTCTTCATTTTATAGATAGTGAGTACTCGCTCAAAGGGATAAAATTTGTTTTGTTTTGCTTTGTTTTGTTTTTAACCAAGGTTACTTGGCAGAACTGAGACTAGAATTCAAGTTTTGTAATCCCTGGTCCAATACTCTCTAGTAATAAGGAACATCATGGTTTTAGTTCTCTAAAGTCAACAATGTTCTTTGTATATGTAGGTGCTTAGTTCAATTCAGTGATCCCACTAAAGAAGATTTACATTTGAACTCTAGACTTCAACCTTGGACAATTAAACAGTACTTTTGATAAGAGGGATAGCTGAATTCAGTGACAATTTTCTTAACTTTATCTTCATTTAGTTAGACAAATTGTTTTTTTTTTTTAATTTTTTTTTAATTTTTATTTATTTATGATAGTCACACACAGAGAGAGAGAGAGGCAGAGACACGGGCAGAGGGAGAAGCAGGCTCCATGCACCAGGAGCCTTACGTGGGATTCGATCCCGGGTCTCCAGGATCGGGCCCCGGGCCAAAAGCAGGCGCCAAACCGCTGCGCCACCCAGGGATCCCCTAGTTAGACAAATTGTGAGGGAAACAACACTTAATAGTAGCAAGGACCCTAGAGGAGATCTGAGCACCAGCCCTGCTCTCACACAGTCTGTTTCTGTTTAGTGGTTTGCCACTTACTGTTTTATAATGGTTTAATGTTTTGCTACTTATATGCTCAGCCTCAGTATCCTCACTGCAGAATAAGGTGTTAACCCTGTTTCTAAAAAAAATTTTTTAAAGCCAATCCTTAATTGTCAACCCTAAACTTGTTTTATGAATTCAGCAAAAGAGCTACAATCTGATAAGAAATACAGCTTTTTTCATTGTTAATATGGCCTAGAATAGGTAAGTTTTCATCAAACAAAATAAACTGAATAACGGATAACTGAAAATGTTTTTTCACTAAAAAAGAAAAAAAAGTGTGCTATCTTTTTTTTTTTTTAAAGCTTTTATTTATTTATTCATGACAGACAGAGAGAGAGAGAGGCAGAGACACAGGCAGAGGGAGAAGCAGGCCCCATGCAGGGAGCCCGACGAAAAGTGTGCTATCTTTAAACCTTTTCCAAAAAAATTTTTTTTCAAAGATTTTTTTTATTTATGTGACAGAAAGACCAGGGGGAGCAGCAGAGGGAGAGGGAAAAGTAGGTTCCCTGATGATCAGGGAGCCCGATGAGGTGGCTCGATCCCTAGGACCCTGGGATCATGATCTGTGCTGAAGGCAGATGCTTAACCAACCGAACCACCCAGGAAGCCCCAGAACTTTCCAAAACTTCTATTAGCAATCTTTTAAAAGCCTAAACAGTATCTCAAGGGTTTTTTTTTTTTAATTAAAAAATATAATATATAAAGAAACCAAAATCTCAAAAGCCAGAATATAAACTACTAACAAGAAGTAAACACTCCAGGGACACCTGGGTGGCTCAGCGGTTTAGCACCTGCCTTCGGCCCAGGGAGTGATCCTGGAGTCCCAGGATCAAGTCATGCATCAGGCTCCCTGCATGGAGCCTGCTTCTCCCTCTGCCTCTGCCTCTGTCTCTGCCTCTCTCTCTCTCTGTCTCTCATGAAAAAGAGAAAGAAAGGAAAGGAAGGGAGGGGAGGGGAGGAGAGGGGAGGGGAGGGGAGGGGAGGGAGGGAGGGAGGGAGGGAGGGAGGGAGGGAGGGAGGAAGGAAGGAAGGAAGGAAGGAAGGAAGGAAGGAAGGAAGAAAGAAAGAAAGAAAGAAAGAAAAGAAAGAAAGAAAAAGAAAGAAAGAGAAAGAAAGAAAAGAAAGAAAGAAAGAAAGAAAGAAAGAAAGAAAAGACTTCATAAGTTTGTATAATAGCTTATGCTTTTTAGGGTAGACTCACATCATCCATTAGTTGGTTTCAGTCTTGTCCTTGGGAAAAGTAGGTATTACTGCTATTTTACAGATGAAGAGGCGGAGTCAGAGATTAGGAGTTGTGCCTCAAATCACAGTTTTATGTGTAGTAAAACTAGGACAAGAACCCAAGCTTCCTGCTCTGATGCCCTTTCCACACTTGCCACTTTCCCTCTTTCTGGAAGAACAGAAAGCCCTAAGACTCTGTGGCCATGTACCCCTGTTGTAAGGCTCAGGTGCAGTGATGGACTGATGTTCACCTAGTCCTACCTAGTCAATTCTAGGACTCAGTGAGGTGGCCGGCACAATTTTGTGGAGCAGAGTTAAATCCAGTGGTAAAGAACTACATATGCCTAGAA